TGTCTTTCTCTGGTGTAAAGGCCAATTGCATCATTTTCATTTTGTCCCAAATTATTATCTCTAACACTCACTCAAAAATTTTATAGTCTGTTCCAAAAATTTAATTGCTCTGTATGGGTCACCGTCTAGAGAATTACCCTTTCCTTTATAATTCAGGATTATCACGCTTTTTTCCAGTCGCCGGATATAATCCCTTTAAGAATAATTAAGCTGTTGCACACATTCCTGAGCCACTCAATCACTAGATCTTCAGATGCCCCAAACATTTCTCTCACCCTCAATAGGGCACATGCTTTATCTTCCATCCATTTTTAAAGATGCACCTTTACCAAATCTTACAGCCAGGCCCTTCCACCTTTGCACATTACACATCAATGTCCTATTTATTCTCTTCATTCGAATAATGTTTCCAAATACGTCTTGCGATTCCGTTGCTATCAATCTCCATTTTCCTCTCAGCATTGTTCCCATTCTTTGTAGCATCTCTTTTCCTCGTTGATCGCTTTGACTACGTTTATTCTACCACCACGTCCCAGTGATTCTTTTATCAAACCACATACTTTTTCCGTATTTTTCAACAGTTTTTTTTCTCATTTCCCAGTTGTTATTTATACCTACTTCACTCACAATAGTCATCAGTATTCTAATAAAAAAATCTCTTTGCACTCTCCTTCTTTAGTTCCGTGAACCGTTATCCTCATAAAGTTCTTTTCCTTACTTTTTCTTAATGAAACAATGTTGCCAAGTGCATGCCTCTTTCTGTGGTATCCGGTTAATTTCGCGAAATGTGTTATAGCTAAACACTTTTTAGCCGATGTCATTTATCGCGAAGGAATTTTTGAACCAATATAATCAGCAAAGCCTATTGCCGCGAATTCCTAAACCGTGAAACAGCTTGGGGTTAATACATTTAAGTGAAACTTTTATAATGAACCCATCATAGAAAGGCATTTGTGGCAAACCCTTTAAAAGCATAAAGTTTATTATAGTGATATGTTTCATGGCAAAACTTTAATCGTGAATTTTCATTCTTGACTACTATCCCGCGAAAATTATCTCAAATTTTTCTTTTAGGGAAACCATTAAATTTCCATAACGATTATCGAGCTTAGAATTGGTTTTAGAGAACTTATTAATTATTGGGTTCATTAGTTAACCTTGATTGTTATTGGTGGAAATTGATATCTGGGTTGCGCCAATATTTATCTCCTGATTGGTACTTATTATTTATTAATTCATCAATCAGTATTTGAGCCACTAAACAAAAACCGAATTAAGAGTATAAATAAAAAGTTATCAGCTAAATAAAAAAAAAATTCCCATTAATTGACACCAAAATTTAAGATAGAACTAAAAATATTGAAGTATTAGAAGTGTTTGTTAAAAGGCTAGATTTTTAAAAATGGCTAACCCAATATCTAACTCCACTGAAAAAATTGATACTTCGTCACAATTTAAGTTGGAGGGGAAAATTGGGTTATTCCAAGACATTTTAAGGACCAATATTATGGAAATTTATACTAATTTAACTCACAAAATAATGACTGACATCACGTTCGCCCTAAAGTTGGGTATACATGATAAGGGATCCCTCATATTTAAACCATCCTGCTTCAAAATGTATCTGAAAAAAATTGATGACGATACTTTGCCAAATCTTGTCCCCTTGATTAAAACCTTAGTAAATTACCGCCATCAAAATCAAGTGCAAATAACCGATCCATATCTCAACGAGCTCGCGATCACTCTCCCGGTCTTTTTATGCAATGTGATTCGTCATCCGCTCCCCATACGCGATTATCCTGTTCCTGTTAGACTATCAGCCCAGAGAACTGCCACCATTTTATTTTGGTTCAGTTTACCTTTTATGTTATCACTTACTCACTTTGGAAAATATGTACTTTGAAACACGATTCACCAATTATATAACTAGTGAGGACGTTTATGTAATTGATCTGCTATCTACATTACTCAATATATCTATGGTTCCCATAAGGGACGCTTACTATACCGGAAATTATGAAGGCAACTTATCTAATAAGCCTAATTTTATGAAATACATATTTACGACGAAAATTGATGAGATAAATTTTCAATTTTCTCAACATTTGGTAACGTGCAGTGGTCAGGATTGACTGTTCCACCAATACTTTATGTAATCACACCAACAACAAAAAATGAATTACTAGTTACTCACAGAGGAAATTTCTTAGAGCTTGGCATTAATTTATAACATTTACATTTCTATCACTGGAACCTTTCGTATTCGTAATTATTTATTCCCTCAATCTATAAAAAAAAGATTCGCTTTGAATTTACGTGGATAGCCAAATTCCTTTTTTGCTTTTAATGATTAAACATAAATGACGATGAAATTAAAATTAATTTTGATTTAAATAAATTACTTGGAAATTTTAAATGTCCATATTATTATCGAAAGATCAATTTGTGTCTTCTTATACGTGCTTTAAAAATATTAATCTTCAGAATTCTTTCGAGACGGAATAAATTAAAATTTATTCTTGAAAGATTTTTTGCATTAAAATTTCAAAATATTTAGTCTTTGTTTTACCAAAAAATATTTAAAAATTCTCAAGTTTCTTTTGATTTTTTCTTTAAAAAACTTAGGTTCTATATTTCTTTTACCAACTAAATTATGTATATTACCAACGAGAATTTTATTATTAAACTGATTTTAATTTAATTCTTCTAAACTGTTATATCTGGTGGTTTTTTTAGGTATACTTTTGCCGTTGGGGTGCGCCTATTTATTTTTAAAAAAGGTGAGATTATAAAAATTTAGATCTTCAATAAAACACAAACGGATATTTAGATATTACAATCTATTGATCTTAGGTCAAAAATTAATATTATCATGAATGTATTTTGGAGTATATGTATTTTTGGAAGTCCTGTTGCATCCACGACAGCCATTTTTAAAATAATAACCTACTTGTTTACAGAAACAGGGAGAGGGTGGAGGGGTAAGTAGGAACCATAATCTGCGGGGTAAATAGTGGACTTCTATGAAGTGGGGAGGGGTAAATATTCTTTCTGGATAGAGGGGTAAAGCTAGGCGAGTTGTAAAACAATAATTTGGAGGCTACAAAACCAAGGTTATATCAAAGGTTTTTCTGATTGGTTAGGAAATTAAAAATTACCAACGCATTTGAAGAGAGGAATCTTGTACTAGTTTTCTACATCTTCATAATATACAATAGAGACAGCTAGACGTTATCACATATACTATGCCTTAATGATTTTCATTTTTATAAATTTTTTTATAATCAATGTTAAGATTATTTTTAAACTAACCCACATCTGTTTTTTTAGTGTCGTTAAACGGCTCGTTTTGAGCCGATTTTTAAAAACGGCTAACTTCAATATTTAATCCAGAAAAATCTAACACAAGCCTGGATTTCGCTCATAGAAGGAACAAAGGTCTATACATATATTATCGAAATCTATAGGCTTAGACATTATTTTTCTAGCTAAAATATTGAGTTTGTCGTTTTAAAAAATAGGCTCAAAACTAGCGGTTTAACAACACTTCTGTTTTTACTGATTTTAGCGGGCGAACAACGTGTTATTGCCAACTAATTCTGTTATAAGTAAAAAATAATAAAACAATCTGACACGAATTTTTCCTTAAACCTGAGAGGGTGAGGCCTAAGCGTCACCGCAAAAAAACACAGTTATTTATAAAATTTGAGGCCCATATATTTAATATACGCATACCCTACACCAGCCAAAATCCGGCTTTTGTCCGTATATAATAATCTCACTAGCCAATGCGAACCCAAAACCTTATTTTCCCGGAGAAGATACACATCACTTTAGTCCTGTTCTTTAAAAAAAAAAGATGAAACATTTTAAACTTTAAATCCCCTATTTTTTAGGTAAGTAAGGTGAGGGAAAAAATGGAAATTGTTTAAGAAATTAAGCAAAGAGTGCAATTACTCTAAACAAATATTTCTTATCATTTTTTTAAGGATTTCATTTATTTTTTTTTGCCAAATTGATTTAAAATTAAATCATCGTCTCTTAAAAATAAGATTTCGCGAATTCAAATTCATCTTGTCTCAATCAATTAAGGGATAAATCTTCTCTTCTTCTCTTCTCTTCTCTTCTCTTGAAAATAACATTTTTAAAGTCTTACAGAGGTTCTTAGATAGTATTTTACACATTTTTATTATTGTTATTAAGATTTTTTAAAAAATTAATTTATATTTATTTAATTTTTTTTTCTTCAGATACCTATATAGGCAGGTCAAAATAATTTAGATTTCTGTTTTTGAATCGAATCCTATCCAATCTGTGACCGTTTTTTCTTACCCAGTTCGGTTTTTTAGATCTGACACCCGGTTTTTTCAAATTTTATTATCCGGGCTTGCCGGCTGTTTTAATCGTTATTTTTGTTATTAAAATAGAATTGTACAAATATTTTTACTGAGTCGTGAACCGGGTTTCTCGGGGATTTGTTTTTAGGTTCAGATTTAAGATCTTTAAAAAAAAAAGGCCTCAAAAAAATTTATATTTTAAGACTGATATACGTTTTATTTAAAATGGAATAACTTCAAAAAAAAACTATGAAATTGTTGATCATAATATCGAAAATTTGAATTATTGGTGAACACGTCCTTGAAATAATTAAAATATTATATTACCAATATATATACGGGAGAAGTGTTATTTTTTTTTTATTTTTTTTTATATAATATTAAACTTTTAACAAATATTAATAATTTTCTTGCGTTTTACTAATGTTTGCTCTCCGGGTATTTGAGAATGTAAAATGGCGATCTGCTAGATATTTAATAATAATTGTCTGTACCTTCATTTTTATCGTTTATAATGATATTCCAGACTTTTTACTGACCAATGTTCTTACGGGTTATCCAGATCAAACATGGAATCTTTCCATGCGCAATTTTTCTCTATTTAATGTGTCGGAGATTCGGTTTACGGCGGTGCCTTCCACTGATTTATTTCTAACAAATATGGTAGAAAATGATGAAAAAGATTGTTGTGCCGGAAATTGCACATCCATTTACATTCTAGCACTGATAATTTCCTCGTGGAACAATTTTAGAATTCGCGAAGTCATCAGAGACACCTGGGCATTTAATGGCAATATATCCGTAGAGAATAGAACCCATTATGTAAGGCACGTTTTTATTGTTGGTCAGGCCCCTTACAACTCTTCTTTATCTGAACAAGAAAATATTTCGTCACAATTAAAGTTGGAATCGGAAATCGGGTTATTCCAAGACATTTTGAAGATCAACATCATGGATACTTATGCTAATTTAACTTACAAAACAATGTCTGGCATCACGTTCGCCCTAATGCGTGGCATTCAAAATAAGATTTCTCCCTTATTTAAATCGTCCTGCTTCAAAAGGTATTTGCTAAAAATTGATGACGATACTTTGCCAAATCTTGCCTCCTTGATCGAAACCTTACTAAATTACCATGAAAATTTAAGTATAATTAACCTATCCATGTCTCAAAAAGACTCGATCACTTCCCCGGTATTTATATGCAATGTAGTTGGTCGAGAGCTTCCCATAAGGGATCATAAACATAAAAACTTCCTGTCCAGCTCAGATTACCCGCCCAGCAAACTGCCTCCATTTTGTCGCGGTTCAGCTTACCTTTTGAGTTATCATTTGCGTACTTTGGAAAATATGTGCATTATGTCACGATTAAGCAATTACATAGCTAATGAGGACGTTTATGTAACTGGGATGCTGTCTCAGCTGCTCAATATATCTATGGTTAACATAGGGCATGCCTATTATACCGGTCACTATCCAGCTAACATATCTAGAATGCTCGATTATAGGAATTACATATTTATGACGCACGTTCATGAGATACATGATCTTCTCGAAATTTGGAATCGTTCAATGCCGGAAATACACGGCACATATGTCGTGGATGTGATATGAAATTCGTGGGAATTCAAAATCTTTCAATTTTATATCATCTTCCGGGGGCCATTTTCAAAATTTTTATATACACCGGAAAATTGCAGCACGGGTAGAGTACTTACCTCTATAAATATCAGACAACTTTGGCCCATTAACCTTAGCGTTTTTTAAATTTATTGATATACAAAAAAAATTGATATAAAAATCATTACAAATTTAGAATACTTCTTAAGTTAACGTCAAAATTGTTTGAATTTAACAACGGTATGCAAACTCTTTAGATACTAAATACATATCGGGTGTCAAATCAAATTTTTTTTCGAATTTAAAAATTGCCTTTAGTAACTTTATTTAGATCGAAAGACATCCCAATAAGACATGTATGCCAATATATACTTGATGTTGAATAATGATAATAGTATATACAAATATTGAAACATTTTGCCTAAATTGTTATAAGAGCCGATTTTTAAAAACGGCTACCTCAATATTTTATCCAGAAAAATGTTATACAAGACTAGCATTTTGCTCATATACGACACATAGGATTGAACATCTATTGGCGAAATGTCGGCGCTTAGGTTATATTTTCCTGGCTATAATGTTTAGATACTCGAATCGAGCCGTTTAACAACACTATACATTAATTACATAAAAAAAATGAAATTTACACTAGACACTTACAGAGGAATTCCCTGGATTTTAAGCATATGTTTGATCTTAAATAAGTTGAAATTGTAATATACATTGCTCAACATTTATATTCCTATCGTTGGAAACTTCTAATTCAAAATATTTAATTTCCTCACCTTAAAATGATTAGTTTTTGAATTTAAGTAGATAGCAAAATTAGCTTTTTAGCTTTTTAATAATTTAGTATAAAAAAACGATGACAAATTTAAAAATAATTTGATTTCAAATAAATAAAAGGGGAAAATTTTTCGTATTTGGTCTCGCTATTTTTGAGTGAAACGTTTATCGCTAAGGAATTGAAGATAATATCGCACCAATTATGCGAATTTTTTTTCCGCAAAACATTTACAGCGAAGACAATATCACTAATTCATTAATCGCTAATTTATTTCCGCGAAACCTGAACTGCGTTAAATTCGGGGCGAATACATTTTAGCGAGACTTATCGCAAACCCATTATAGATAAACTTATATCGCATGACCCTTTATGATGAATTATTTACTGCGAATATATTATCGCGAGAGCATTGCCCTTGAAACAATGAAAATTTGCGAATTCATTTATTATAAGATAAACAACTAATTTTACCCACATAATTACTTAAATCATAAGCCCGAAATGCTAACGGGTATTTCGCTAATTACTGTAAATTATGTAAATAAGAGTTGTTATTATGTGACCAATATATGATGTGAGGAAAAAATAGCTTAGCAATTTCTTCCTGGCGTTTCTCACTAATGGTGGTAAGTATACGTAGGGGTAATTTTGAGGTTTTTTTTTACCACAATAAATTTGTCCCCATCACCTCTAACATATATATCTTGAACATGTAAAAAAAATTCGCTCTATGCAATTAAAAGTAAATTTTAGTAATTATTCTTAAATGCTTAGGCCGTGTCGTAAGTCGGCTTAATACCTATGGTTATTTAACCGATAAAAGCAAAATAAAAATAAATTTTTTTAAAAACGAGAATAAAATGCATAGCATTGCCACCAGATACTTGAAACCAAAATAGGGTGTTCTCGATTAAATACTTTTTAGTCACTAAAAAGCAATTAAGTATCTGAATTAATCCAACCTAGGACACGGTCTTAGAACACAATTTTTACATCCACTATATTAGTGCCTACTAATTGTATATACCTATTTAGTGGATCTATTCTGTAGAGTCAGTGAGTGGGGGGGGGGGCCAGGAGCTCAAAATTTTTGAGCCCCCTGAGATTTTAAAAACTAGTGACATCAGTAGATCTATTGTTATTAATTCTTCATAAATTAAAATGGTCAATGTAATGAATTCATTAGTGGAAACTTCTGTCTATTAGAAAAGTAAAATAATACTTCACCAATAGCCTCAAAATACTTATAAATAAAATGAGATGTTTCTAAATGATCAGTCCATCTCTGGTCTAAATCTCTTAAGAATATGGCCCGTATATTTTACTGGATACTTTAAAAACGACTAAAATAAATTGTACAATGCTTTAGATAAATTAAAAAAATTAGAACTGATAACAATATTACTATACCCTTTATGAACCATAAGATGCAACCTGTGGTGGTAGCAATATATATAAGGTAGCACTTTTCATGAATTTATTTTAAAGCAGGGTTTGTATTCCTCTATTTTGGTCAGACATAACTTTTACACATCCATCATATGCTTGGTTTATTATATTCCATGATTTATTATTTAATATATTATAGGTTACTTTAAAATACAATTAGTAATTGCTTTCAGCAGACATTGTAAAATAATGATACCTATTATTTTCTTAGATTTCTCTACAAAAAAAATATAACGAACAATTAAGCTCAGGTTTTCACAACTTGTTTATTAATTCATATAAATTAAATAAGTTATATTTTCTAAAAATTTTGTTGTATTTTCATTTTGATTTAATCGTTAATTGTGAATTAAAATTTAATAACTAAATTTTTTTTTAATTTGGAGGCCTAATATCTAGACAGACGATGCCTTCATTAATAGTGTACATTGTTGAAAAACAGCTGGGGACGCCATTTTGGTTGTCCATATCATTATCAAAAAATTTTAAACGATAGGCCAATTTATTACTAAGTCTGACGTGAACTTTATTAAAGATTTGCCTGATCATCGAGATAGTAAGGAAGCAATTTATCGAAAAATGGCGGGTCCAGCTGATTTGCTTTCAACGACACTTTCAAATGGATTACTATGAATGCGTCGTCAGTCTAGGTATTATTAAATGTTATTGAGGGGGGATATGTCACTCCCGGGTCTCCCCGAGCTACGGCCCTGTCCTTCTAACGTCATTCCGTATTATCAATAAATGAAAAATAAGTGCACGATTTGATCAAATAAAAAGAAAGTAAAATACTCCATTATAAAAGATAAATTTGTTAGAGTTTGCTTCTGATGAAAAAGAATTTTTAGGAATATTATAGAATATATAATTTTTATAAACGTTAAAAAAATTAATATTATTTTTACTATAATTAAGAAATACTATTATTTTTAACTACGTTAAAAAATTTATGAGGGAAGCAAATTTAATATTGCTTATTTTTTTTAATAAATAAAGAGAAAATCATGCCATGGTATTTGTGTAATTTTACCATAAAAAATAAGCATTGGGGAAGCAAAAACAAAAATGCTTATTTTTTTAATAAATGAAAGAGAAGAAATTTTTTTTACATAATATTTTTCCTTACTTTTTTAAAATAAAAAATTTTTCGTTTTCAAAATCTTAATTAATGTTTAATAATTGTAATTGTATTATTGAAAATTTATTAACAATATCATTTAGCTCAATAAAATTTTAATGCTAAAAAATTGATTATTGAAAAGGGAAGACCAAAACCAATTTTACAAAACTTAAAAAAAGAAATCATAACTTGCATTCGTAATTTTTCTATTGATAAATATGAAAAATATTAATGGCTCACTAGATGTAAATTTTCTAATTCTCTATATTGTTGGTCATACATATTATTCCCAAAGGAAAAATATGTTTGGAATGATAAAGGATTTTCGGATATGAATAATTTTTCAAAGACAGTTAAACGGCAGAATCAACCGCTCATTTGCAGTCGATGATTCAATTAAAAACATTTGGCCAACATCGTATTGAATATATGATAGATTCGATGCGCAAAATATCAATCGACCAGCATAATTCTAAAGTCAAATCAAATAGAAAAATATTGATCAACTCTATATGTTTTCTTGGAATTCAGGAGCTCGTATTCCGTGGTGATGATGAATCTTCTAATTCAATAAATATAGGGAATTATATTAAATTAATTTATTTGCTCGCGGAAGAAAATTTACTATTGAAACATCATTAAGAAATAGTGCAGTTTTTATTGGTCTATCGAAGCAATATTCAAAATGATTTGATTAATTCTATTTCATATGTCGTACACCAAAAAATATTAAATTCGTCGAATCGTTAGATAATAGTAAATTCCAAATAATTCAAATTTCCCAAAATATTTATTAGATAATTTAAAAGACACTTATTCTCAATTTTTCCACTTACACAAGCAGGAAACTGAATTAAAGGTAATGTATCGGGATGTTGAATTTAGAAAGAAAAAGAATGTTAATGAAATACTTAAATTTTTAATATGCACCGACTTGATGAAAAGTTTTAAAGAGTTTTTTTTTAATTATGCAAATTCATCTTAACTTTGGCTTCAACAACAGCAAGTGCAGAATGGAGTTTTTCATCTTTAAAAGAATCAAATCTTATTGCAGAAACAGGATGAGCCAATAATTTCGATTAAAAAAATATTATTAAAAAATTTTAAATCTAGCGATAACTTTTACTCAAAACAAAGACGCATACCACTTATTTATAAATCATAATGTTTTAATGGTTTGAGTTTGCCGAAAATAAAAATAAAAGTGTTTTTTTTTTAAAACAAATTGTTTTTTTTAAAACAAATTGTTTTTTTAAAACAAATTGTTTTTTTTAAACAAAATGTTTTTTTTTAAACAAATTGTTTTTTTTAAACAAAATGTCTTTTTTAAATTTTTTTTAAACAAAATGTTTTTTTTAAACAAAATGTTTTTTTTAATTTTTTTTTAAAAACAAAGTGTTTTTTTAAACAAAAATAAAACAAAGTGAGTGTTGTTTTTAAACAACGTGTTTTTTTTAAAAAAAAATGGCTAAACACTTCTTCTCTATTTGCAACTAAATTATACTTCTTTTTTTAATCAAAAATGGAATTAATACAAATCGTAATTTTTTATTGAAAATAATTATATATATTAAAATATAACAGCTGATAAAAAAAAAAATATTTTAAAAAGGATCAATCAACAAAGGGAAAATTATT